ACCTTGTATAGGTAACAAACAGCAATGGATTCTGACTTGTATGACGAGTTCGGTAACTACATCGGACCTGAGCTCGGCTCTGACGATGAGGAAAATGAAGACGATGTCCCACTCGCTGGAGACGCTGATGAAGAAGCAGAAGAGGCTGATGACCAGGTAGTGATAACTGTTTAGGCTTTTGCATCTTGTTTTTGCCTTTCTAGGAGTGGCTTTGCGTGAAAAAAAGTTGATCTTTCCAATGCTACATGAGATTCACCATCATTCAACCTATTCAGATCTCCTACTAGTTGTTACATTGGATTTTTAGGAGGAAATGGAAGATGATGCAGAGGAAATCCCACAGAATCAAATAGTTCTTCACGAAGATAAAAAGTACTACGCAACCGCACTAGAGGTGAGTGACTTTCTCCTCAGTTGCTTCAAACATCGCTTTCCCATCTTTTTTCCTCTTTCCAATCTTTTCTTTTTCTTCTTTTTCTGAGTTTACTAGTTCTTAGGTCTATGGAGAGAATGTCGAAACGATTGTACAAGAGGAAGATGCTCAGCCACTGACCGAGCCTATCATCAAGCCTGTTACGCAACGCAAGTTCCAGGTATTTGCAGTTATACGAGTACTGTTTTTCAATGTAAAAAAACAGCTTGTTTTCAGTCAGTAGAACATAATTTGCCTGAGACAGTTTATAAAAAAGAATATCTTGCTGATCTTATGGATTGTCCCCATATTATGAGGAACGTCGCTATAGCTGGCCACCTCCACCACGGAAAGGTACTTGACGAGAAATTATTTGGGGTACTTTTCACTACTATACTGTTTTAGACGACGTTTTTGGACTGCCTTATGGAGCAGACTCATCCCGAATTTTTCCGCGCAGAGGATGCTGACACTAGGTTCACGGACACGCTCTTCATTGAACAGCAACGGTAGCTTTTTCTCTTGAAGACATACGTGGAACCTCTGAAAATTATTATTCCTTAGAAAGCGTTCTTACTTTGCGTCAGCGTTTTGAGCTTTGGTCAGCCTTCTGAGCCACTGGAAAAGCGTAGATGTCGATCCAGCTTTTCTAGCATATGCTAGAGACCCTCACTGTACACCGATGTGCGTTAGCGTTTTTCAGCGAATAGGAAAGCATAGGTACAGGTGACGGGTTGAGCGTACGCTGGTCTACGTTGAATCGATACCTATACTTTTCTAGTCCCTCAAAACGCTGCCGTACGCTCATAACAGTGACGCAAATTTTGAACGCATTTTTGTTCCCATTTTCAATAATTATTCAGGGGATGCTCCATAAAAGCTATGCCAGTGACAATTGTAATGGAAGATTCACGTCTGAAAAGCTATCTTCTCAACATCATTGATACTCCAGGTAAGCTACTTTAATAGCGTTCACCAGTGCCCCTAAGCGTGATAATGTTATTACCATTTTTCTTGCTCTCTCCATAATTTTATGACAATTTGAAACCAGATTGGAATCTTCCAATATTATTGAAATCATCTCCATATTCAGCGTTTTTAATTTATACGTTCAGGTCATGTCAACTTCTCTGATGAGGTCACTGCTGCTTATCGACTATGCGATGGTGTAGTGATCGTTGTAGACGCACATGAAGGAGTAAGGAAATTCGGTGTTCTGGAGCTTCTTCCTCTACGTACCCCCTTTCCTAGACGCGTTAATAATTTGCGAATGTAAAGAATCCGCCATTTCGGAGAATGTGCGGCTATGTTGGGCTAAGAGGAGCGGGAGGGAGGATACTAATTTTCGTCGCTAGTTCATTTTCATGCTCAGTTTCAATTCATGCGAGCCGACAGGTCTCACTTGGTGAACTATTGTAAAGCTGCAAAGTGGTACGAGTGAATTTCATTTACAGGAATTTAGTGTTCTTCACCAGGTGGCTTTTACAAACTTCGCTGAGTACCATTTGGTGCGCCCACCAAGGTGAACTGTGCCAATGAGCGCATCAGAAGAGTGCACACATAGGAAAGTGTGCGTATCGATCTGCTGGATCCAGGGTTTCTGCAATACGTGAGATTGCTTTTCGGGTCAGGGCAGAATCATTAGTTCGCCATCTAATCCTCTCCCACACTTTCCTCCGATTCTCCGCGCTCGCTCCGAAGTCGCTGATTCTTTTTATTCGCAAAGCAGGAACGCGGAAATACAAGCTTTGTTATTTCATATCATATGCATTCGTTCTCGCTGGGGCATATTAGAAGAACTAGGTTTGGCGCTGCATCAGCCCATTCTCCACCAAATCCTTGAAGCGAACAGCAACAACTGGTGGAAAAGGGTTCCCTCCACCCCAACCCTCGGCCCCTGTCACGTCCCAGCATCTGCAAGAAAATGACTGTTACAATTGTATTTCAAATATGTACGGTTCAGGTGATGATGAACACTGAACGTGTGATCCGTCACGCTGTGCAGGAACGTTTACCCATTACCCTTTGTGTGAACAAAATCGATCGCCTTATTCTGGAGTTGAAGATGCCACCCGCGGATGCGTATTACAAGCTACGACTTGTCATAGATCAAGTCAATGGATTACTGCAGTAAGTTTATAGAAGACAGTGATAGAATGTTATGAGTTGAAAAAAAAATCAGAGCAATTTATACCGTTCAGAACGTTCTCTGAGGATGACACACCTGTATTGTCTCCCCTTCTGGAAAATGTTATCTTCGCATCCGGTCGCTACAATGTCTGCTTCTCGTTGCTGTCGTTCGCGAACATCTATGCAGAAAGATGTGGTTCGTCCCATTTTTCCACTGGTTGAGAAGTTTTGTTAAGGGAATTCAATGTTCAGGCAACGTCAACGCTCGTGAGTTTGCCCGACGATTATGGGGCGATATCTACTTAGACAAGTCAACTCGAAAGTTCTCGAGAAAGCCACCTACCCCGGTTGCGCAGAGGACATTTGTTGAGTTCATTCTGGAGCCGCTATACAAAATTTTTAGTCAAGTAAGTTCACCAATGTTGTATTCCTATGTAGAGGGTAATATTCATCGATGTTCTAGGTTGTGGGCGACGTAGACACTTGCCTGCCACACATGATGTCAGAACTGAACATCAGGCTGACAAAAGAGGAGCAGAAGATGAACGTGCGACCACTGATCGCGCTCATTTGCAAGCGATTCTTCGGAGATTTCAGAGGTTGTTTCGACAATACTACGCTGATGATTATGGCCCTGGCTTTAGTTTTAGCTCTGTAGGAGTTAGGAGGGGAGGACGTTTTGCACCCTCGCTGGTTCCTTCTGCTAGATCTTGTTAAATTACATGCCCTATCCTAATAAAACCTGTAGACTCTAGTGAGTTGTGAAGATTTTCTTGAGAGATTGTAGTAGGGTTGTTTTACGCCAGTTGCATGCGACTACTGCGCCGCCTCGCTTTGATTTTTTGGTGTTGGAACGGCGTGGGGGGGGGGCATTTTGCCTACTTTTCTGTATTCTTGCCTCTATTTCACATGCTCCTTCTCTGTGAATGGAAATCTCGTAGACCCTTAGGTCACAATCTGGAACGCTATCTATCTTTGCCTTCCCCCTTCCTCCTCTCACAAATTTACAGAAGCGTTTCGACGCGCATCATTCTGATCACCACGTAATCGCACACTCGCCCTGCCGCACAATGGCGCACACTGCTTGGCATTTTCTCGCAACGAATCTTTTCAGGTTCGTTGACTGGTTGTTGAAAATACTATTAAATCGCCCATTGAAAATGCAAAAACCAAAGTGGAGCATATTTGGCTCGGACCAGCGGACAGCAAACTTGCGACGGAGATGGCAAAATGTGATGCTAATGTATGTTGCCATACATTCTCCTGTTATGTTGCTTTCATACCTCTTTGAATACTTCCTTATTTCCATTTAGGGACCTTTAATGGTTCACACGACGAAGAATTATCCTACGGCGGATGCTACATCATTCCGAGTCTTGGGACGTGTTATAAGTGGAACTATTGAGAGTAATGCTGACGTCCGGGTTCTTGGAGAGAATTACAGTATTCAGGTGCGAAAGTTAACTGTTGACGTTCAAGTCAAAATGTTTTTTTTCTTACATGATTCTTTCGATTGCCCTCTAGAATGTCGTATTTGCAGGATGAAGAAGATTGTCGCCGTTTAACCGTGGGCCGTCTTTGGGTTCATGTAGCCAGATACCAGATAGAAGTGTCTCGTGTGCCAGCCGGTTGTTGGGCTCTTATTGAAGGAATAGATCAACCAATTGTGAAAACCGCAACCATCGCTGAGTTGGATTATGAGGAAGATGTGAGTGATCAAGGAAAATCATTCAAAAAAGAATTTTTGAACAATGATATTTTAGATGTACATCTTCCGTCCCTTAAAGTTCAATACAAAAAGTGTGGTGAAAATGGCGATCGAACCTATAAACCCATCCGAACTTCCGAAAATGCTTGATGGTTTGAAGGAAAGGTGAGTAG